GAGTGGATTTTCCCTTAGTGAACTATGAAACTGAGGCATAGCGTTGAAATAACATTGCCTTAGCTCATAGTCTCTTGCTTCCTCGCTCAAGGTGATGCAAGATGGCGTGGCGGCCACCACGGATCTCTTCCTCTCATTTAGTGTGGGCATCATCTTTGTGGCTTTTTCCACCTTCCGAATGTGTTTGCAAGTTTTTTCAATTTAAAGATCGAGTGGTTCAAGAGATTTAGAACCTTGACTTCTCAAATGCATGCAAACACAAAGGAATATCTACACACACAAAAATAAACCCTTCCAAGATCAAGTGAAAATGTGAAGAGAAAAATAAATTCAGGATTTTTTTTGAGTGATTTTTTTTGGACTTTATTAAACAAGACCGTTTCCCCGGCAACGGCGCCAAAAACTTGACCGGGCTAAACTTGCAAGTGTACAAGTGCCGATATAGTAATAAATTCCGGTAAAATACCGGGTCGAATCCACAAGGAAACGTTGTTTAATTCAAGTCCGAGAGTAGATAACTTTAAATGAAGAAATGAATAAAGTGCGGGGATTTTGATTTGTGTTTTATATTTTTGGTTTTTCATTTTTTTTTCAAGAAGATAATTGTTAACCAATATTGAGTTTAAGATGAATAATAACAACAACTAAGGCTTCATGAATCACTTAAATACTTTAATAGGGTTGAATATTAGTTCTTTGCCAATAATTATTAATACGATGTTGCTAATATATTCTCAACTCCGGTTAAGGCAGCGAGAGCGTGGTTTCCGTTACCTGTAAGTCCCGTTACGGCTTACATTCATCTACCGAAAACCCCGTTGAATATCAAGACATCACACCCATATCATATAAGACCGGATATATTTCTATTCTCGGTACTATATATGTTTATCCTTTAATGTTCATAGTTTAGACTTCAACGTTAATTGCAAGTATAAACTAAATTTAACATACTTCTATGTTGTACACCATAGTCATAAACAATCAAAGTATAAAGCATAAATCACAATTTATTGGTTTAGAACTTTTATCAAACACCTAGTGGACATAGAAGTTCATCCCTAGCCTTAGCTTAGAATTTAGCTACTAATGCTCATATTAATTACAAAAGTGTAACTAAGACTAAGGAAATACAATAACATACAAGAAAAATTAGCTAGAACCAATTGTAGAGGAGAGAAATGGCTTCTTCTCCAACTCTTCAAGATAATACAAAAATTAAATATAAAAACTGAATTTTTAGCTCCAAAGATGGAATGATGATCTTGTTTGATGAATTGAGGGCTTTTTATAAGCTAAAGATTGACATCTTTTAGTCTATTCGAGCACAACAGTTAGGCATGGATGAATTATTTGCTTAGATCATAAGGAAGGTAGGTTTTTCTCATCAAGAATAGGTTGCACGTCTCTTTGTTTTTGCATAATCAGATCAACCCGGCGCCGGCCTCAGGCTTACCCGGTTCCGGTTATGTGTTATTTGCAGCAGGTACCTGGAAAATTGGGGTACCCGGTGCCGGGTTGGCTACTGCCTCGCGCACTTGTGTTGAAAATCAAAAGGCCGGCGCCGGTTATGTGAAATTCCGGCGCCGGTTTTGTCCTAGGATTTTGGGGATGTTTCGCTACGAATTTGTACATGATTCTTTCACCAAATTTGTAGATAATGAAGTCTTCTATCTACCAAAACTTGAATGACGTGGTTTTATTCATCCAATCAACAGATATGGATAAAACAATGATAGGTATGCATCCTGAAATCCCACCAGCAACATCTGGCTTTATCAGTTGATTCAGTATTGTTCCTTTCCTATTCTGGCCATGATGTGTTCATAACATTTGTACCTTATTGAGTTAACATTCATATGAAATTCTAATCGAGTGATTTCTAGTTTTCTACAATAACTTGTACTCGAATTATGGGCAGAACATCATCCTCTTGGTCCAAAAAGCTCTTCATTGCAATGTTTATGCTCTAGCTCTCATTGTGAAGGTATTTGCCCAATTTCTCTTCCTTTCTTCAACAAATACTTATAAATACTTATGTTAAACACAAGTAAATATAATGGCTATAAATCATCAATGTGGTTGCTACATCGGAATAGTGATCTTGTTGCTAAGAGAAAGCCTTCCAAGACCAGTGTAGCGTCTGAGCCTTCCAAGATGAGTGTAGTGCCATGCCTAACGGTGCAAGCAGAAACCTCACCAACCAAGAGAGGGTGTAAGTAATGGACTTTCTCCTCCAAAGGACAGTGGATGGCAAAGTTAGGCAAGGTGGCTTCACAGAAACTACAACAGCCTTTGGCATTTATCGCCGAAGTATTCACAGAATATGGAAGACAACACAAGACTGTGGGGTTAAAGGAGAACCAATCAAAATTGACTCCAAGAACAAAGGAAGGAATGGAAGGAAGAAGATCAATATAGACATGTCTATGTTGTCAAGCCTTCCCTTTCATCAAAGGAGTTCAATCAGAAGTACTGCAATAGCAATGGGAGACCCTGCTCAACTATATAATGTTTAGTCAAAAGATGAGACATTAACTCACACTCCAATGCTATTAAACCCTTGTTAACATCTGCCAACATGGAAAATAGGCTGAAATGGTGCATGAAACATCTCAAATCAGATTCTGTTCCACAAAATCCAGTTTTTGAAGACATGTTCAACACAATCCACATAGATGAGAAATGATTTTACATGACAAAAGGTAGCCATAAGTATTATTTGGTTGCAGGTGAAGTGAAGCCATATAAAACAGTCAAAAGCAAAAGATTCATAGAAAAAGACATGTTTTTATGTGTAGTAGCAAGGATCGGATTCAATGACCAAGATGAATGCTTGTTTGATGGTAAAACAGGAATGTGGCCGTTTGTACACATGGTGCAGGCACAGAGGAAAAGCAAAAACAGAGCAAAGGGCACACCAGAACTAAAGCCAATAAAAGTAGTCAACAAAACAGACATATATGGACATGATAATCAATCACCTACTACCAGTAGTAAAGGATAAATGGTCTGAGGGGGGTCATAACACAATATACATTCAACAAGATAATGTCAGCCCACATATAAATGGTGATGTTGTTGAATTTACATTGGCAGTAAACAAAATGCAAATGCATGTGCAGTTAATCAATCAGCCACCAAATAGCCCACATATGAACATCCTAGACCTGGGCCTATTCAGAATAATTCAATCTCTACAGGATAAGTTCTCAACAAGAACATTTTCAGAACTAGTTCAGAATTGCATAAATGCATTCATCGCATACCACCCTCATTCCTTAAATCATGTATTCCTAAGTTTACATTTATGCATGATTGAAGTAATGAAGGTCAAGGGGGGAAACAGATATGAACATGTTCACATTATGAAGCAAGCATTAGAAAGGCAATATCTATTACCATTGACAATCAGCCCCCCCCCCCCCCCCCCCCCCCCCCCCAACCCTTGTGACAAAGTGCATGACATTCATGGAACAAGGTGCAAAAAGGGGATGATATACAAAAGATGATAACAGACTGCAGCACAAGGATTATAACAGAAAGCAAGGTGCACAAAGGAAAAGGACACTGACGGTTTTGTTTTTTGGTATACATAGAACATGTAGGCAGGTATGTATTGCAAGACCATAAAAATACTCCAATATTTTTGCTATGGAGTTGGTCTTTTTTTGCTGTATCAGTGACCTTTAAAAAATATTTTGGATTAATGGATTGTATTTTCACCAAATCTTCAAAGACAAGCACACACGAATTCAAACTCACAACACATTCAGTCAAATCACCAAATCTTCAAAGACAAGCAATCGAGATTTCGACTCACAACTCATTCAGTCAAATTTTAAAATTTAACATAAAGTTAGCAAGAAATTACATCACTTATGGAATACACTGCCGGCCGAAAGCACATGCACACAACCTTTCCTTGGATGTGACCTCCTCTCCCTCTGAATCCGAGTCGCCAAACCCTGAAGACTCTTCCTCCACGAAATCAGACCCAAGTAGTCGCCGTCTGGCCGGGCCAGGGTCTGTTTCCATTGAAGTGGACCAGCCTGCTGGACAGTCGGTGTTGCAGGAGTCGATGTCGGAGTAAGCAACAAATCCGATCGCCTGATTCACATGTCCAATGGTAGCCCTCTGAAAATTATCACCATCCTTAAACGGATATGAAGGAGGCGAAGGAGGCAAGGAGGTGGTTCAACATCCATTACTTCAAGGAATATCAACTTTGATTCAATTTCATAGGGGTCCATGCAAATCGAAAGGGATGAGCCAAAGGGGAGACTTAGGATGACAAACGGAGATGAAAAGGAGAGGGTGCTCTCTTGGTCAGACAAGAGAGACAGGGAAAGGAGACAGTGGTGTGAGCGAGAGAGGAGTGAAGATTCGAGAGATGCGAAGGTGGTGAGAGGAAAAGGTTATGCGAAATGGGATTTTGAGAATGCAGCCAGACATATGGAGTAAATGCGAAGGTGGGAGGCGGTTGAGGTGGGTGGAATTTTAAAAGTCTAGGTAGGATTAATGGAGTGAGAGAGAGATAAATGTGATGAGATAGATAGAGAATAAAAGTGGCAGGGTTTACTACTAAAAATAGAAATGAGGCATTTTTTATACAGTCAAAAGGGAAAATTGGGACGGTTATCGTGACATGGAGGGAGTATTAAATTAGATTCACATATTGAAATTCATAATAGTTGATTATAAATATAATTTAAGAAATTTTTATAAAAGAAAAACGAAAAAAGTGAATTAGAAGAAATGAAACAGAGATCACGATGTTCAATATTAGACTCATAATACTCAATATAATAGATCCAATTCTCTATGAAAGTGTATTGATGATCAATTAACAGAAGTCACGATTTTCATCCAAAATTACAAAAATGTCACTGGTTGCACAGTATACCGTCGGACACCCGACTGTACGATATAGGAATTCCTAAACTATCCCTAAGAATATGATATCATGATTAGTATACAAACAATTTGAATTGGTTGTAGGTTTTTGTTCATCTTTCTCTCTTGCTCAAACTAAAGGGGTGTAAAAGAAAAAAGGGGAAGAAAAGGGAAGAAAAAGAAAACTCAAGAAAAAGCCGTACGGGCTAAAATTAGCGCACGCCGGCGACCCGACCCGCCAAAGTCACGCTCCGTTCAGACACTATCTCCGACCGGCGATATTTCCGCCTGAATCATCAGTACGAGAACATATGTGCGTATGTTTGGGTGTGTGTTTTTGCAAAAACATGGGTGAAGTTTGTTTCTACATAGTTTCAAATCTTCTAGCAGACCGTTTCTCACTTATTCGTCAAGATCTCGCTGTATATACACATGCGTCGTATATAAATGTATACACTAACACTTTTATGCATTTTTTCTCAGTATACCAGTAAACTTAGAATCAATAATGTATAAATTCGAAATCTAGGGTTTATATAGTTTGGAAGTTCTACGGATAGTTAATGGTTTAGTGTAGTCTTTTGCTCTTCTACAGTTTTATGCATTTGAAATTAATGGTTTTCATAACTTCAATCTAGTTGAGTTGATGCTATATCGTTTCCTATATTCTGGGATAGGTGATCTGAGGTGTTTTGAGTTTGTTGGTGTCAGTGTTCAGTTATGCCTTATAAATTAGTGAATGCAAATAATAGCTACTCTGCATCATATTGGATTTTCATGTTTCGTTCCATTCTTTGTTTTGCAACTAAAATTTTGACAGGTGTGATTTATAAATCTAATTATTTTTGTAGCTTACGATCAGAGTTGAATTGGAGAAAGAGGTGATAGCAGAGCTAGGCCAAATAAATGGATGGACAGAAACAAAGAATAGAGCAGGGAATCGTCGAAGGATGTTCAGCCCTAGAACCAAGAGGATCTGTCTTTGGAAAATATTCTGATGCAGACATGCTTTTTAAGCTGAAAAGAATTGCTCTGGATCCTTGTGATCCAAAAGCTGGCTTCCGAAAATCTGGATCATTGTTGAACCAAACACTAAGAGTGCGAAAAGTCTTGTCTATTGGTGACCCTGACTGCCCACGGGTAAGCTCAACTTTCTAAAATTTCCTTGCTATAATTAGTGATGCTCAACTAGCAGCTCATGAGAAAATGTTCAGATGGTGATATTTGGATTTACTCCCGTCTGTCTCATCGTAAATAAACTAACTATCAAAAATAAGTCAAGATAAGTCATGTATTATTACAAAAAACGCATAAAAAAGAAAAAGTGATTATATTGTAGCTTCATAGATGAATGAGATTCAAGAAGTGGTGTATCAAGGTTTATTTGTCTGGTATTGTATTTTGGGTTTGCATTTTAATTTCGATAGGGGCGCTTACTACTAATTCTTCTTTTTGTTTTTGAGTAAGGATAACATTCTTACTTGAACATAGCCACATTTTTTCCTTTCCAAATTCATTATGTGCACCTGTTTCTTTTTGCCAACTCATTCACTCTCGTACAATTTCCATCATTTCCATCATTTTCCATCATTTGCAATGGAGCCAAAGATTCATTATTTTTTGGCTTGAGATTATGATGGAATAAAGCAAAATGGCTCACTAAACTGTTTGCGCTTCTTTGTTATGGAGCAGCAGTCAGTCCATGCAATCTTGGACGCGATTTTCACTATGGGTCATCTGGAAACAGTCTTTCTGTGCTTTAGTACAGGGGTAAGACTGCGTACATCCGACCCCCCCTTACCCCACCGTAGGTGGGAGCCTTTGCGGCACTAGGGTAAATGAAAATGATGAATGCAAAATGCCTCATAAAATTTTCTGTGCTTCTTTGTTATAAAGTCATCGTTGTCATGGCACATGGTGATCGCCATGGCTCAATGGCATTTTTCATGGCGCATCGAGATGGTACATATACGAATGGCGCATATTGCGCTATAGCGAGGACCATTTTTTCATGGCAATGGTGCATATGGCGTGCACCATATCTCGCCATTGACTACAATGTATAAAGCAGCAGTCAGTTCATGCAACTTCCCACACGATTTTCATCATGAGTCATTCGGAAATAGTCTTCCATGATGAAATGTTGTTTTTGTATTCACACTCTCATACAAACGTAGTATGTGGTAAACTAGTACCTGATTCATGCACCTTGGATCCTGGATAAATGGACGTGCATATGGTGGTCGGATACCCGGACATGACCGATTGTGGCTTCATATACGGATGAAGGGTCGTATCTCGCAACATGTACTATAGTATAGTATCACAAGTCATATTTGTCTAAGGCACAATGTGGCGCATGCCATATGCACTATATGGGGATATGAAGACCCCTCGCCACGAAAAACTTTCATGACGCCAAGTGAACACGTGGCGACGCCATATTGGCACCATCACCATGACATGAGCGCCATTTTTATTGGATTTAACTTGTTTATTTAGTTACTTTTGGAATTTGGTCTAGACCATTAATTAACCTGTCTGCCCGTTAACATGGATTTGATTACTAATTAACTAATTAAGCAATCAGTCCATAATAGTAATAAAAACTCTAATAAGAAGTAAATAAGGACCAACCAACATAATTGATGACGTAAATGAGTTTAAAGATCCTCATAAGAATGAAATGAATGAGGATGATGTTCCATTGTTATCAAATTCAGATCTAGATGATGAGGAGTGTCATAATTGATGATGATGATATCATAATTATCAAACACAAACAAGTTGACATGTTTTGGAAGACATGATTTTTTTGGATATAAGTTTTTGTTTAAGCTACATTAAACTATTTTAAACTTCACATATTTTGGTAGAATGTTATATTCATTTTCTTCTCATTTGTTTGGTGTTTTTATAGATTTATAGAATTATAGTGTCTATAGTTCATATTTTTTGTATTTATGGGTCATGTGGTGAGATATTCTTAGATGGTAAGTTTATATCGTTCAGTGGTATGTTCCCTTACTTAGACTTCATAATTCAGAAGGATGGTGATCTAGATGGAGATGTATTCCATAGAATCAGAACAAGGTAGATGAGATGGAAGATTGTTTCAGGATTTTTATATGATCGAGATATGTCAACTAAATTGACGGTCAACTTTTATGGGACATCAATTAGGCCTGCATTATTGTATGACGTAAAGTGTTGGACGCGAAACAAGGCCACATTCAAGTGAGGAGTGTGACTGAGATGCGCTTGTTGTTGAATGTGGGAGCATATTAGAAAAGACTGTTTGATGATTGAAATAAGACAAAAGTGAGAGTAACACCTATTGAAGATAAGATGTGAGAGTGTCAATTGCGGTGGTTTGATCATGTGTGTAGAAGACCGAGAAGTGCACCTGTTAGACGAATTGAGAGATGAAGAGAAGAGGCGGGGAGGAGAGGGAGAGGACAACCTAAGCAGACGTGAATTCGAGTGGTCAAGAATGATAGGTTACTTCTTGGATTGGATGTATGAATTTGGAGAGAGCGAACTCGAGGGAGGAGAGTATACATGTGGAGGGATGACAGGTTACTTCTTGATCATGTTAGCTTTGGTTTGGTTTGGTGTACTTAATTCATACTTGTCATTCTAAACTAGTTTTCAAATTACTCGAGTATAAATACAATTTCAAAATCTTAAAAATAAGATGAAACAGATTAGGAGAAAATAAGTACTTCAGAGTGAATATTGAGTTATAGAATTACACAACCAAGGAAAATCAAATAATGAAAAAGATAACAAATAACGTTCTGAGCTCAAATGTGGGATATTGAAGTCTATGGAGTCTGTGTATGCTTGAAAGGACGAATTTAGTTGTTGGAGGTTGAACAATGGCAAAAATCTGTTCCAGATTTGTATCTCATTTCAACTTGTAAACCTATCTGCTAGAGAAGCGTTGTGGTGCATTATCTGTGTTTAATATATCTCAACAGGTCGAGCAACGCTAAGTCGCTAACAGCTCATCAGAGGTGGGCTCAATTCGTGCTTCTTTTGAGCCTCAATATGGGTGCACTTAGGGCCCCTATTGGGTAGAACTAGCATTGTGCAGATGGTTAAGTGACAACCACAGTTTCCTCATTTTCCATTTTTTAAAGCGCTAAGTGTGCTTTTAAATTTCCAATTTGAAAATGAGAAGTAACCTCTTTTTTTCCTGTTCTTTTAAGTTTCCATGTAAATGCTCTAAACCTAAATTTACCCGTGAACTAATCTCCTCCTATTTGTTTTTGACAGAGAAAGAGAAAGCTCCAACTTTACATCAAAGGAAACTTGAGAAACGCTCCCAACCTTCCATTGGAGACATTTGACAACAAAACTAAGGAAAAAAAGAGTAGAAGGCAGTTGTCCCATGCATCGACTGTTTCATGCTTTAACAGTTCAGTGAAATCCAAAAGTTTTGAAAAAAATGCGGTCCTGACTTCACATAGCCCAACGAGCTTATTAACATTTGAAGAGAGTCTTCAAGAACGAATGTTTTCAGAATCCTTTCTAAATGCTGTAGATATGGGGCCTCCTGCCAACTATATTTCTTCTGTAATTGACTCCGATGAATCTGTTAATGGCTCAGACCCCTTGAGCCCTGTGGACCTAAAGCTCACCCCCATCGAAGCACCCTTGCTTGCCTTGGATGAACTGATTCACAATTCAAAGTCATTGACTAGGAAAGGATCAAAGAGCAGGCATCTTCAATCACCTCGTAGGTCCATTAGGTTAGAGAACTTTATTGATGACCCCTCTCCAAAGATGGTTGTTCCAGTTGGGCCTCGCTTTCAGGCTGAAATTCCCGAATGGTCTGAACCAGTTGGGTATGGACAAGCTGATGGTGGTTATGATGATTCCAGATGGTTAGGAACCAAAGTCTGGCCTATTGAAATGGGCAATACCAAACTATCCACTAAATATGTTGGAAAAGGCAGAGCAGAGTCTTGCACTTGCCAAGCTCCAGCCTCAGTTGAGTGTGTTCGATGCCATGTTCTAGAGGAGAGACTCCGTCTCAAATGCGATCTTGGCCCTGCTTTCTCTGCCTGGAAATTTGATGAAATGGGGGAACAAATGTTGAAGTCATGGACAGCCGAGGACCAAAAGACTTTTGAGCCGTTGGTGAAAAAGAATCCACACTCAAATGGAAAGAAGTTTCTGAAGCAGGCCTTGAAGTCTTTCCGTTCTGAACTTAGGACAACTGTAGTCAATTATTACTTCAATGTCTTCCTCCCAAGACGCATTAGTATGCTCACACGGATGTCACTGGTTGAGCTAGTTGACACTGATGATGATGCAGAGGATTCTAATAACTTGCATTTGCGTGACATATGTGATGGAAAAAGTGTTGATCCTGGGAGGTCCAATGATGTAAAAAGAACCCGATACTTGCGTCTCAGGACTTGATCATGAGCACTGGAAGATCAGTGAATATGGTGCAACCTTCCAGAGGTTTTGCTTGGTAGCTTTGTTATTAGAATGCAGTTTAATTTCTTTTTAGCCATTCAGTCAAGAGACCCTCCAACTTAAGGTGGGGGGGGGGGGGGGGGGGGGAGGTTCTTTTTAGGATGCTTTGATTTCAGTTTGGTTTACGAACTGGCTGCATTGGTACATGGCCCAAGTGTGTTAAAGAAATACATGTATAATGATTAATTGATTTAACCCCAATCTCTAATCTGTGTTATGGACAATGTAGTAAATTGCGAGCAGACAGTGCAGTTCTAGCAGTGCCATAAGTGGCATACTGGTCACTGGTGCCTATCACCTAGTCAATTAGTTGGGTAAATATGTTAGAACAATACAATTCTACAAGCAATTCACAGAATTGATCAAGAACACAACTGCACACTTTTATTGAATAGGCAACAATGGCCGAAGCCCCCAAAAGATAGAGATACCACTCTGATCTTCCCAGTACAGACTTAAGAGTCAAAACAACCCCCTCCCAATTTCCAGCTTTCTTCTCTTTATAGTAAGCTCGTAACTCCTACTTACCGGATATAGTTATTAGCTAATAACAAACTTTGACTAATGACTAACTCTACTTCGTTCTAGAATATACTTTGCCAAAGTATTTATCCTCTCTCTTCGATTTAGCAGAGTCTCTGTCAATACTCCCCTCTGAAAAACCAACTTGCCCTCAAGTCGGAATGCTGGAAATTGTTGCTTGATGATTTGTTCTTTCTCCCAGAATCTTCAAAATCTGGAAGATCTTTCCAATGCACCAGAACTTTCTTTTCCCCAGCAGAATTTATTCTGACATCCTTCACTTCTTTAGGCATTACCAGTAACTCACACTCCTCTGTCATGCAGTTTGGAAGGTCTTGGTAAGTACTGGTGGGGTTCAATACCTTCTTCAGAAGAGAAATATGAAAAACAGGATGAACCCTACTCCCCACAAGTAACTTAAGCTTGAAAGCCATTGGATTTATCTTCTCTGGGATCTCATAGGGGCCATAAAATCTAGGACTTAATTTCTGATTGATCCGATGGGCTAGAGTCTTCATTTTATAGGTCTGTATCTTCAAAAATACATTGTCTCCAACTTCTAGCTTCAATTCTCTTCTGTGTTTGTCTGCTTGCTGTTTCATTTGGTTTTGGGCCATGGCCAAATGCTCCTTTAATTCTTTAAGCATCTCATTCATGTATGTTGTCAACCTAGATACCTCCACCACAGATGACAGACTGACATCCCCTCTTATGATTATCGGTGGTTCCTGACCAAATAATTTTTATAGGGAGTATTCTGTAAGGAGATGATAGTTGGTGTTGTACCATAATTCAGCCTAGGGTAGCAATTTAACCCATTGCTTGGGTTTCCTACCAGTCATACATCTCAAATAAGTCTCCATACATCTGTTTGCTATCTCTGTTTGTCCATCACGCTGCGGATGGTAAGCAGTATTGTACTTCAATGTAGTACCTGCTGATTTAAACAATTCTGACCAGAAGGTGCTCAGAAAAAGGTTATCTCTATCACTCACTATGGATTTAGGAAATCCATGTATCTTCACTACGTCCATAAACAATTAAACCACTTCTTTAGCATGGTAAGGATGAGTTAGGGGCAGAAAGTGTGCAAACTTGGTTAAACTGTCAACCACAACCAAAATAGTATCCTTCCCCATGGACTTAGGCAGTCCCCAACAAAGTCCATACTAATATCACTCCAAGTATGAGTAGGTATAGGCAAAGGTCGCAGCAACCCTGCAGGATTTAGGGCCTGATACTTGTTCCTCTGGCATATATCACAACCTTGAACAAAGTTTTGAATCTCAGATCTCATTCCCACCCAATAGAATAGATTTGATATCCTTTTCATTGTTCTGAAATACTCTGAGTGTCCTCCCGGAGCTTATTCATGATATTCTTTTATTATTTTTGCAATTCTGCTAAACCCCTTAGGTATTACCAGCCTCCCCGTGAAATACATCAATCCACTCTTGATCCTATAGTTCCTTACCCTGTCAGGTTGAGTTAGGACTTTCTGGACTAATCCACCACACCATGCATCCCTCTCCAATTCCTCCTCTAACCCCTTACACTCTTGACAGGTTACTATAGATAAGGAGCTCATAGTCATTTTTCTGGAAAGAGCGTCAACTGCTCTATTCTCCACCCCAGGCTTGTATTTGATGATAAAATCATAGCCCATGAGTTTAGTGATCCACTGCTGCTGGTCTTCTCCCATAATCTTCTGCTCAGTTAGATATTTTAAACTCCTCTGATCAGTTAGAACCTCAAACCTCCTTCCCAGCAAATAGGGTCTCCATTTTTGGATTGCAAAGACTATGGCCATTAGTTCCTTCTCATATACAGATTTCATCTGATGTTTGGTTGATAGTTCCTTGCTCATAAAGGTTATGGGTCTGCCCTCTTGCATCACGACAACACCCAATCCTTTCCTTGAGGCATCCGTGTCCAAAGTAAACATCTTACTAAAATCAGGAGCTCTTAGTACTGGTAGAGTAGTCATGGCAGTTTTTAATTCTTCAAATGCTTCCCTGACTTTATCATCTCATGACAAACCTTCTGTAGTACCAGTCAAACCAAGGAATCCTCTCAAATTCTTGATATCATGTGCTTCTTTCCAATCCTTCATGGCTTCTATTTTACTTGGGTCTGCAGAAACACCCTTTTCATAGATTATATGGCCTAAATAAGCCAATAGATTCTGATCAAAAGAACACTTTTTCCATTTGCCACCAATTTGTTATTCTGTAAAGCTTTTAATACCTTTCTCAAGTGTCCCTTGTGTTCCGCTATGGATTTGTTGTACACTAGTATGTTATCAAAAAAAACTAGAGCAAACTTCCTTAGAAAAGACCCGAGGACTTCATTCATTAATGCTTGGAAAGTGGAAGGGGCATTGGTAAGCCCAAAGAGCATGACCAGATATTCGTAATTCCCTTCATGAGTTCTAAATGCAGTTTTATGAGTGTCACAAGCTTTCATTCTGATCTGGTGATACCCAGATTTCAGGTTCAGTTTTGAGAATATTTTAGGTCCATCTAACTCATCAAGCAATTCTTCAATAACTGGGATGGGAAACTTGTCTAGCACTATTATTTTATTCAAGGATCTAAAATCTCCACAGAACATCCAGCCCCCATCTTTATTTTATTCCAGAATTTAGCATTTCCTGAACAATTTTCTCTATTTCATTCTTCTGATTTGATCATAAGTATACTTGTATGGTCTTATATTTGAGATGTTGGCTCCTTTCTTGATGTTGATGGAGTGGTCACAAGCTCTCTCAGGTGGAAGTTCCAACTCAGTCTTGAAAACTTCTTGGAATTCCTTTATAATATCCTTCCACTCCATATTGCTTTCTTTATTCTACTCATGCCCTTGTAATTTCCCTTAACAATAGAGCAAGTATCCATCCCCTACTTGCTGTATTATCTATGTCATGGTCTTCAAATAAACTTCAACATTATTAAGGGCTAAATTTCCCTTAATCATACACTCATGTCCCTTATGCTTCCGCTTAATGGCCTGCTCCTGGAAATTTACCTCCATATTCCCCAATTCTGATAACCATTCTAACCCTAGAATCACATCTATACCTCTCAGTTCTAGGATATAGAAAGTCTGATTGATTTCAATCCCGTGTACTGTCAGCTTCAATCCCACACACCTGCCATTGTTTTGTATCAATTCCCCATTCCCAATTTGGACCTTATACCCTTTGATTTGGTTGTAAGGGATGCTCCACTTGTCAACAAAACTTTGAGATATAAAATTGTGTGTAGCCCCACTATGAATGAGTATGTTAACCTTCTTTTCTTCTGTAGCCCATTTCAAGTTCCCCATTATCTTGAAGGTTATCATAGAAGAGATACCTTCCCTGCTAAGCACAGACAACTGCATTGCTTTAGATTCCAGGTAAGTTTTCTCTCCTTCTTCAGAACTACTGAAATTTGCTTCAATTTCTGCCTCTTCTTCAGATTGTTCAATCAGAACCATCATGTAATTCTTCATCTTGCACACATGCCCCCGTTCCAGTTTTCTCCACACTTGAAACATAATCCCTTCTTACTGCTTTCCATCAATTCATTTTGAGATAATCTTGGGCCTGTTTTTCTGGAAGTAGAACCTTCACCAATTTCTGCAGTTTTGTTATCCATAATAGTCTTCCCAGAAGAATGTGTAGAATGGTGTTACTGCTACTCTTACTTCCCTTGACGACACTAAAGTCATTGTGTGCCTCAAAATAAATTCAATACTGACACTTATACGTAGTATATCGTAGCAGAGTTCGTATCCACAGGAAAATGAATACTTTTCTTTTTATGAACTAGTAAATAAAAAGGGGGTTTTGGGATTGAGTGATTTAATTAATTTAATACAAAGATGAACAACTTAATGATTTTAATTAATGAGATAAAAGACTTGGTTTTGCTATTTTCCACATGTTGATATGTTTGTTGATCCTTGTTATGTCTATAACTTATCCTCTCTCGAATACTCAATCAAGGAGTATCTCCAATTCATCGAGGGTAGTTATTAACAACGATCGTTCATTAATGACCCTTACTATAGTCAAGTATAGAACACTGTCATATACCGACTTGATAGTAACATTAATCTCTTAACTCCTTGATGAAACCAATTGGGATTGATAACCTGAACATAATGGTTTTGGTTTAACCAACACAATTAATCCCTCTTAAAATTATTAACCACGATCGTGCATTAATAACCCGAAGTTAGTTACATGTGAAACCATCAATGATTAACCATCGGTTCATTGATCGTTTCTAGTAGTAATTAGTGTTGAGATATTAATTAATTGTCATCTTAGCAACACTCCCCAATATTAATATAGAGATGGATTAATGGAAGAATTAATATTCAAGGGAAGAAGTAAGAAAATAACTCACAACTTTAACATTCAACAAGCTCCAAGAGCAAAAGCAAGAAATGAAAGTTTAGCTCCTCATTTGGAGACTAAACATGCTAGAAAATATAAAGAAAATACTATTCTAAGTTGAGCTTAAGTATATGGAAGAAGGGATATCAA